ACTCAGACTAGAGCAGATGTAAATCAGAGCAGGGTTCTCATTGCAGCCCAGTGAGTTACATTCAGCACCTTCACAGCTGATGCTGTAGCAGTTTATGAAAGCTGGATACATGTTGTCTCAGAACCACCTGTTTGCCATTTCCACATTGTGCCATTAGTCTTTCTGTTTATATATATATTGTCTTCCCTATACACAGACCCTGTTAATTAGTAGAGTTACAATATCTTTACTGTGTTTTCTGCTAAACTCCCAGTGTGTTACAGTGCCAGTGAAATGGGAGAGAGGTTTTTAATAGGGAGAGTTTTTCCTATTGTTCAGGCTGTAGTGTTCAGAAATTACTTAGTTAAATTAATACCATTACTTTTCTCGTGACTGTGTTTTCCTTTGGTCAGCTTTGATCTAATATTTTCTCAGCAGCTAAGTTTTTAATGGCATTTTGTTTAATTTGACTTCATGAGTCTAGCGTTGTGCTTTCTCCATTGCAATACTGCAGAGGAAAGCTCAGTAAAATCACTGCTCCTGTTGCTGCCAGCACTGAGGTGAAAATGGATTTATTTACAGGTTCTTCCTGTGGCTTCTTTACTTTAAAATACCAAAATTTAAAAGTTTAGACTCTTCCAAACTCAGTAAGACCTGGCTGTGAGGGAGAGGGGCCGCACTGGTAAAAGGGTGGGCAAATGCCTATGGAGTCTGGGGGCAGAGTTAGTGAGTGCAGCACTTAGGTCCTACACCTGGAGGTAAAGCAAGCATGATGTGTTGCTGAGAGTCATCATACATAGGTGTTGATACCTTCTGGGCTGTCTGAACTTCTAGTGTATTTAGTACCTTCCCTCTCTACTGTCATGGAGAGGAGGAAACAGCAGCAGAGCTATTCCAGCCTATCCATAATACAGTGAAAGACATTTTGTCTCTGTGACTTGTTGTGCACTTAGGGGGAGTTGATATGATTTGTTCCCCTTTTCCTGCAGGAAAACAGGGACTTGAGCAGGAGAGGAAAGAAAGGGGAGAAGCTCTCCTCCCTGCTATTGCAAGTATTGGCACTGATAAATATCAGTCTACGTAGTAATTCCAGATATGTTTAGAATAATTAAAAGCAGTAGTCAGTAGGCATATAATTATAGATCTGATAACTTTTATTTCATTTTGAAATCAGATAGAGTATCTAAATGGGAGAATAATTTGAGAATATGTTCTGCCTACTGGGGAACAGCATCATTTAGAAACTTTTATTTGTATGCCTATTAAAGCTTCTTCATAATGCTAGTTAAGACAAGAGGACAAGTTCTAAAGGGTTTCTGAAAGTACCTTGGTTTATGAATGCTGCTTACTCAGAAATGGCAGATTTTGAATCTACTCATAGTCTGAATAAAATATCAGCTGGGCCTGTGCAAATAAGTATTTAAACATGCAGTTTTGGATGCTCTTAAAAAGCTTTGTCTTGGATGCATATATCATTGAATCTGTTTTTGAAACAGAATTAAGAGCAGTGAAATGATTGGGCCAAACTGCAGGTACCACTAACTGTGAGGTGGCAGGATGCTTTGCTGATTTTTTTTCTTTTTTATTAATTAATCTATCTGTTATATAACATAAACTCTCAGTCGAGAGAAAAGAGACAGGAAATGTCAGGAAATGCAAATAAATTCTTATGTAAATGGTCCTAATTTTTCAACTTAATCAGAATATTGAATGGCTAATTTTTTTTATCATTTTTCTGCTGCCTCTACTTGTATCCCAGTCCATATCCAGCTTTGAAACCGACTGGATTCTGTCAGGCATGCCTGTCAATTCTCACTGAAAAGAAAAATAAAAAAACTAAAGAACAAAAAGAAGCCATTAGAGTTCCTTTTTGTTATGAACATAAACAGAACTTCTAAGGAAAGTCAATATAGTGTCAAAAACTTTCACCAGTGATGTTGTCATGGAATAGCTCAAACGTCTGAGGAACCTCCTGTTCTGATCACTTCAGCCATCAATTAAACTTCAGAAAGGTGATGGGCATGTTTTAAAAATATCATTTGCTGTAAATGCAGGGTAGTGTGCTTCATTTTCCCACACTTGACAATATTTAAAATATTATTTACTTTGAAAGTGATAGTCATTAGTTTGGTCTTTTCAATAATCTGTGTTTTGAATTTGCATACTTCTGCTGTCTCCTGGATGTGTTCAGAAGGCACTGACCAGCATGATGATGATAAAGACACATTATTTATTAAAATAACAGTATCAATCCAATCACGTGCTATGCATAAAATGAGGCATTTTTTGTTAAAAAGAGAATCTAGTAACAGCCTGTTTCTTGTTCTCCACAATAACTGTGTTCAGAATGGTTGTTCAAATCATTGAGGCTCATTTTTAAGGTGAAATAGCCAGAAAGTAGTTCTTGATTAATTTCAGAAGACAGTTGTTTGGACTTTTTTTTTTTTTTTACTAAAATAAATACTATTCTTAATGTTTTGCCTTTAGTTCTGTAAAAAGCACATGTTGCTGGCTACAGCTATTTGATACTGAAAACTAAAGATAAAATGGCTGCATCATATATCTGTGATATTTAAATAACTTTTCCTCATGGAATGTGTGAAGGATAATGATGAAATGTCCTGTTAGGTTTCAGTAGATGGGTCATCTCCCTGAAAATACAATAAAGGTATTTTCAGCACTGTGTCTTCAGAGAGATAAATCTTCATAATATGTGCTTTCATTGCTGTGTTCTTACCTCTTGACCAGTTTCTTGTCACCTGTCCTATACAGTCTTAATTCTGTATGAACCAGACATTTAATTCTGTATGACAGATATCTGCATCTACAGGTATAAGAATGTTGTGTGAAAATATGCGAACTTTTTCATCAGTGCTAAAGGGATCCATCCAGAGTAAAAGCGAGAACAAAAGTTCATCTGATTGCTAGGTTTCTTGAAAACATAAGAAACTTGCCAAGGAATTTATTTTCCTTCTTTATATTCTGTTGAACATTTTTAGTGATAATTTATCACGGAAAGGGAGGCATTGTATCCGTGCTCCTTTTCCATAAGGCATATGCAAATGTGCAAGTGCCTTACACTGGTACCTGTTTGTAAAAGTGGCTTCTCTGCGTAAGACTTCTTGGCTGTTCCTACAACACGTACCATTACGACTGCAAACTGTACACCCTCAGGGATAAGATTTGACAGAGGAAGGAGTGGCTCAACACTGTAGGCAAGTCTGTGATGAGGCATTATAAATGTGCAGTCAGCCTTTTTTTTTGTCGTGCTAGAGCAGAGGGCGAGCCCAGCACCTTGTATTAGGAGAAGCCTTCTTCAGTTATAGCATTAACAAGTGGCAGGGAGGAGTGCACTGAAGGGATGTGTGGAGGAAGAGGGAAGAGGGGAAGAAATATGCCCTTTTCCTCAAATTTTATGTTCTTTAGACTTACCTTTCATTTTTCGCACTTTCTCTCTTGCTCTTTTCTCATGCCTCTTCCCCTTGCTTAATCTCCTTTCATCTCCTCTTTCCAGATCTCCTAGTTATTATCTGACTTTCACTGCCTCTCTGCTGTATTTGAATTCCCTTTATTACAGCCACTTACAGTTTCTCCTCACCTGCTCCTCTACGTGTTGTTCTTTTCCTCCCTCAATATCCTACCACAGTCCAGTGATCATCTGTAATTCAGCAAATGAGAGGGAAAACATAGGTGCTACCTTCCTTTCTGAGCCTTGTAGCTTATATTGGTTGCAGTTCCATTGGCCAGCTACTAAGCCTGACTGTACAGCTTCAGACTGACTCTAGCTTTGTGTATTAAAAGGACACTTAGTGGATATTTTCATGAAGGACACAGTAGCATTATAGAGTTCTGTATAACAGAGCTGGATTTGTGTCCCTCTGGGGAGTTTATATCAGTTTGGCACTCAAAGCTGTCTGGCAGCTCCTTGAGATGATTGTTTTGCTGTGGGTATGCAAAACCAGGACAACAACATAGTTTTTGTAATGCTGTTAAGGACATTAAAACAGGGACACTTGATTTCGAGAGACATTCAGGCTATGCCTAATATTGTATGTTTGGAGACTGAGTCAAGGAGTGGGCGAAAAAACTCATGTACAGCCTGACTCACCCT